CAGACACATCCCCAATGAAAGAATAGACCATTCCAAGCTTTAACTTGTTGTTAAACAACTCTGCTTATTCAATCATCTCGTATTCTTCCCGCCAGCTAGATACACAGAATGTTCTATAACCAACGTGTTTGAATAGATAAATCAAAATATTATCCACAAATGATGTGGAAACCTTGGCTATTTCGTTGAAGTTTGCTTACGATAGTTATTCAACTCTTTCATTCTACACGTATAAGTTTTGTGTAATAACGAAATTCACAGGAAAATTATTTACGTCTCCAAACTAATAAATTGAATCGTTCTCAAACAAATACGTGTTAGAAAGTGAAATTAACGAAGCAAACACGTGTTAGAAAGTTATCTTAACGAGGCAAACACGTGTTATAAAGTGAAATTAACGAGGCAAACACGTGTTAGAAAGTTATCTTAACGAGGCAAACACGTGTTACAAAGTGAAAGTAACGAAGCTAACACGTGTTAATAAGTAAAATTAACGAGACAGACACGTGTTAGAAAGTTATCTTAACGAGGCAAACACGTGTTACAAAGTGAAATTAACGAAGCTAACACGTGCTAATAAGTAAAATTAACGAGACAGACACGTGTTAATAAGTAAAATTAACGAAGCTAACACGTGTTAAGAAGTAAAATTAACGAGACAAAAACGTGTTATAAAGTAAAATTAATGAGGCAATACTCTTTATACGTACATTTTTACATAGCCTGTTTTATCATAAAAACAAAACGTTGTGTTTTGAGAAGAAGAGTTATAAAAAATTTTATGCTTATATTTTTTATGTCCCATTAGAATCTCCATAGCGGTAGACAACGATCTGTTTGGATACTGGATCGAGATGATGATGAGAAACTACAAAAGGTGTATCACACCTCTTCCGTCCACTTTTCGTCCACTCGCGGTGGAAGACCTTCGAGGTGCTTTCTACTGTCTGTCTACCGGATTAGGTTTATCAATAGTCTTTTTTATTATAGAATCGTGTGTTTATTTGAAAATAACCAAGCAAAGAACCAAGGCTGGTAGGGTTAAGCCTTAAAAATAATTTAGTTTGGTTTAGGATTTATGACAAATTTTTCAGATCGTCCTTAAATGTCACTTCACTCACCTTTGGAACAAAATCATATCCCTTTTTTTTCGGAATTTTCAGGACTAAATGAATAAATATTTAGCACGTTGTAATCTAAATTTGAAGACTTTTTAGAAAGATTAGATTTATCACATGTGTATGTGCATGCACAAGATAAGACTATTGAAGGAAAAATAACCCCCAGTTAAACATCTAGGGGTTATCTTTATATGATAAGAATGAATATTTGGAATTATCTTTACGTAATAAGAATGAATATCTAGGATTATCTTTATATGATAAGAATGGATATCTAGGATTATCTTTATATGATGAGAATGAATATCTAGGATTATCTTTATATGATAAGCATGAATATTTGGAATTATCTTTACGTAATAAGAATGAATATCTAGGATTATCTTTACGTAATAAGAATGAATATCTAGGATTATCTTTACGTAATAAGAATGAATATCTAGGATTATCTTTACGTAATAAGAATGAATATCTAGGATTATCTTTATATGATAAGAATAGATATCTAGGATTATCTTTATATGATAAGCATGAGTATTTGGAATTATCTTTACGTAATAAGAATGGATATCTATAATTATCTTTACGTAATAAGAATGGATATCTATAATTATCTTTACGTAATAAGAATGGATATCTATAATTATCTTTACGTAATAAGAATGGATATCTAGGATTATCTTTACGTAATAAGAATGAATATCTAGGATTATCTTGATATAATAAGAATGAATATATAGGATTATCTTTATATGATAAGAATAAATACGTAGGATTATCTTAAAATGATAAGAATGAATATAAAGATGATCTTTACCTGCTAAAAAAGAACGTCTAGGATTATATGTCAAGGATGAATGTTGTTACTTTGTGTATAGGATTCTTACTTTTCTTTGTACTTGTAACCTTAAAAATATCTTAATTTTCTTTAGAAAACATTAATCTTTTTTGTAAGTATCTGAAATACCTTAGTTTGTCATTATATTTACGTGTCCAACGTGGTCTGGAGTATTTAACAAAATCTTAAGGTAGATTCTAATAATTATATATTATATTCTTTTTGTTTTTCCAATGATTGACTTACGTTCAACGAAAAACTACGACGAACAGAGAAAGTTTGTTTGGCACTTTTCTTTTAGATGCGATTTTAATGTAACGCTTATGTAATCTTTGGTTTCAAAATCTTTGTATAGAAAAATGATGCTCTGCGAACCAATATGAGTTGAAAGCAATATTTCTTAATATCAACTCATATTTAATAGAAGAACGTTTGACTTTTTTTTTTTAACATCAGAATACTTTTGCTTGTCCGTACAAAAAGAAAAAACTAACAAAGGTGAACAACAAAAAGGAGAATATATATACGTTTCTTCGGATGCTGTTGTGGAATGTCTAAGAATTACGAAGAACATTCTAAGACTTACGAAGAACATTCTAAGACTTACGAAGAACACTCTAAGACTCACGAAGAACATTCCGAAAGAGAAAATTTTAAAAGATTTTCAATTGTAAAAAAAAAACGTTTTAAATGAGTGTCAACTTTGACTATAGAGGGAGCAATATTTCTCTAATATTATTGTTTTAATCCTCAGAAGATGAAACTTTGAACCTTGACTATTTGTTTGTTTCGGAAAGTCGTGCAAAGCTACCCAAGAATTAGCCGCACTAGCCGTTCCTAATTTTTAACTGATACACGAAAGTTAGCCAACTAGTTAATAGCACCCAGCGCCAATTCTTAGGCTAGCCTAATCGATAGTGGTATTTGACTGTCACTCTTATAAGGCCTCCACGGCCCCCAACGTGTGGAGCGCGATTTTCCGGCAGTGGGACGCGAACCATAGACCCTCAGATTCACAGCCTGGCACGTTAACCACTAGAACACGCTCAACCAATACTAACAGAGAAGTGGTGTTACTCGTTATGCAGATACTATTTTTCAAGTAGATTGAAGCCTGGCACGTTAACCACTAGAACACGCTCAACCAATACTAACAGAGAAGTGGTGTTACTAGTTATGCAGATACTATTTTTCAAGTACATTGAAGCACAAAAATCTAAAACCTTAAACCGTTAGTTTAATTTACATATTTTCCACAATCTGTTAACTTTCCATACAAAAATAACCAAATGTATCTAAATATATATATTGGTGTGTAACAAACCCACGGATATTTCAAAATGTTCTCCCGACTCATTTGTGCTGAAATGTTTATATTTTTTTTTATTAAATTCCCCAGATGAGAATCTTCTAGAAGGAAACTAGAACGTTCTAGCCCCCCCCCCCCCAGTGGCACAGCGGTATGTCTGCGGACTTACAACGCTAGAAATCGGGTTTCGATACCCGTGGTGGGCAGAGCACACTTGAAACGACGTTTCCGGTTTCAATCGACATTAAGACATAAACAGTATAGTCCATCAGTATATCCTGAAATAACAGTAATTAAAGAGTCCCCCCCTCCCCCCCAATGTGAATTTGTCATTAGGTCATTTTCTTTTATGTTCGTGTCAGGAAATAACAATGGTCTTTTTCCTACCGATTTTCAATGACAGGAACACAGCTCCACGGTGATGGACGAACACGCAATTTGCCATGTAAATGATCTGTATTCAAATATGGTAATAAGAAAAATAAAGAGGGAGCTGTTCCAATATTTATCATTGTTTTACCGAGCATAACGAAATTGCTATTGGTTTTAGCCACTGGCAGTTTATTAATGTTTCACTGTTTTAAGTTGCTCTGTCTAGCATTGATATAAATGTAAACTTTGTTTAAACAACTTGATAATATAAAAAAAGCATCTTAATCACTATTGTGTCTGTCATAGTATTCAACCTGAAGAATCCTGGTATTGGCGAAAAGCCTCGTTGGCAGTGGATATAGCAGATATAATGTGGTTCATATATAATTACACACTCATCGCAAAGTTCTCATAACTATACAGAACGAGTGAAGCGTGTTCAGTGACCATATTATGGACTTTACGTACTTCAGCCCGTTACGTTAACCACTGAGTGATTTCTTCAATCCTATATATGCTTCTCCTATTGAGAGTGATTAAACCTAAAGTTTTGTTCGTTTAATATCAGAATGAAAATTTTAATTAAAGTTTGATTTAATACACTGGGGTAACCAGGCGACACTGACTTTAATTAAAGTTTTATTTAATACACTGGGGGTAACCAGGCGACACTGACTTTAATTAAAGTTTTATTTAATACACTGGGGGTAACCAGGCGACACTGACTTTAATTAAAGTTTTATTTAATACACTGGGGGTAACCAGGCAACACTGACTTTAATTAAAGTTTTATTT